TGGGTCCATATTTATGTCATAATATTTGCATCAAGGCTAGGTACAGACAGTCAAAAAGCCTAAGGCTGAAACGATTCAGTCTGTGCAAGTTAGTCTAACCTGCACAGATTAAATTGAAACAGAAGTGAACAGACATTTACCTTTGGTTCAGGAAATGCAGCCACATGCCTGCAGTGCATCAGACCAGAAGCCAGGGGGCACTAGAGCACAGCTCTCTGGCTGTGTGTTCATTTCTCTTCCTGATGCCCCTAAGGTCTCTGGGATTTGCAATCCAGAATCATAGCAGCAGGACTCTGCAGGATTGCTCATCACTTCCTCTTCCTGCTTCCAGGTGCCTCTGGGATTTGTAGTCCACAGTTGCAGCCAGCAGTAGGTTTGGGTGGAGGGAAGGGTGTTTAACCCACCTCCCTGGCCCCAGACGGGTTTTGCCTTGGAGGGCAGTTCCTCCCCTGCAGACTGGGCTTGCCCCTCTTCCCCCCACACCTGTCAGCCAGCCCTCACTGCTCCAGCTAGAGAGCAGAGGGAAGGAGCCAGTCCTGCTCTCTGGAGCAGACACCACAGCTCAGCGGAGCCCCAGGGCTGGAAACCATGCTGAGATGCTGGGGGACTGTGATTTAACTTGAACCATGAAGGGGTCTGGGTCAGAAGTTTCATAAACCGTTTTGGCCCAAATCAATTGAGTCTAATACTACGTTCAACCAGGTTTCTCTTAAACTAGTTTCAGCCATTTTGAAACTGGTTCTGTTACTGGTTTAAACCAGTTTCTGATCACTTAAATCCATTTATGTGTAACTTCTGTCCCTAGCCCTATTATTCTTTCAATACATGAATAAATTACAGAGCAAATCCTGCAGCCAGTACTCAGGGTTCAGGAGCAGGATTCAGTCTCTATAAGCATTTTATATTAGCTGTCTAGCATTTTCACATAAACAGTCCTAAGCTTTGATTTCTTTCAAAATAAGTAATACTTCATGGGTAAATCTACACAATACGCTATCTGCAGTAGCTCATTGCTATGTGTACTAGCTGCTAAAACTATCCATGCAGCATCAGGACTGCGCAGTAACATTGGTTACTGTGCAGTCATTTAGTACTTGCTTAATCAAGTGCTAAATGACTGTGCAATGACAATGCACCCACTGCAACCTAATTGATTTTTTTGTGAAGGATTCTACATTGATTCTGCTTGGGAAATGCACCTGGAGGAGGAGAGGAAAATTCCTTCTTCCATAGAGCATGCCTCAATTTTTACAAAAAGATTGATAAGATCGTGTGGAATATATTCATAATATGTGAGCCAGCTGCTAATAGAGCCTAATCATTTCTGTATTATCTGCCATTTTATTTGCTTCACATTTCTCTATGTATTCTTGATTTTAAAATACAATTTATATGTGGCAGCTTTTCCCTGCCAACCAATTTATCAGTAACAGGAGGGGAAATCCTAAACAACAAGTTCTAGGAGGTCTGAAGCCCTTTTACTGACATTTTTAGAAGGAATAGGAAAGTGTGTGAACTAGCTAAGATTTTTATCAAAGAGAAAGAGGAAAAGCTTATTTTGCAACTATTTAAAAATGACATTGGAGTTGATGTTCCATTAACAACAGCTGCTGGAAGGACAGCGATAACCCAGATACTGTATGTAGTTCTTGGCTTATAACTGTGGAATAAGAGAGAGGTTGGATGTAAGTGACCTGAAAAAAAATGAAGTTCTTGTTAAGTGAGTGACATAAGGGCTTCAGTTTAATGTTACAGAATCGCGCAGCTTGAAGTTTCGTTGCGTAGTAATTCCATCAGCTGAATAGCAAGTCCAGACAGTTTAGAATTTTTTTATTGCAGTATTGTGTCCACTTAATTTCCTACAGGAGTGTTTTTTATATGTACCAGTAGCGGATACAGATAAATCTAAAATCTGCAGAAACATATTTAGAAATAAGAGTTAAAATGTCATACTTGGATATGTATATATGTGTGTGTGTGTATAATGTATGTATGTATAGTAACACTAAAAGAAAACTAATTCTGAAGCATAGACATCCAGGATTTAACATAAGCTTTACTTTAGTTCCTCATAATCTTAGTATTTCAAGTGTGCTTACATAATTGTGAAACTATTGTTGATTTGCTTTCAAGTTCATCTGTTTATCTGACCAAACCTTCTATTGTCATATTGTAACCTTTTATTGTAATATATATTGCACAATATTGCTGTCATTGTGGCTTTATTGGGTTGGAGTTCATAAACTCACATACTTTTGGAACAGCTAGATAGATGGATTAATGATCATAAACTTGTTCACTGGCCACCACTGTAATTGGTTCCCAAGAAATATGGAATGGGCATGTGTTTAGTAAGTTATCCTTACCTGCTAGAGCAGAACAAAATAGAGTTGTTTTCAAATAATAATAATTCTATGTAAAAGAATTTTACTATGCCTTTACTGCCTGATAATAAATGGAGGTGTATAGTTTGGGCCCGATTCTGAATTTGCTGAAAACAATTGGAGTTTTTCCTTTAACTTCCATGTGAATTTCAAAGGCCTCTTACAGTCATTGCAATACTATTTTTTTTAAACTAACATTGAAAGCACTATGTACTGGTCAACACTGTGATTTGACCTGTTTTTAGGTCTTTTTTTGACACTGTGATTTTCTATAGGCTACCTCAAACCAACTTTTATCTCCACTTACATGTCTTACACTAGATACATCACTGTGAAAGCTAAGAGCTTCCATGTTTCTCATGTGGATGGTGTGATAGGTTAGAGAAACACTCAGTGAAGCGGGCAAACTTTTTCAACCCAACAAATGTCCCTGTACTTAGACTCACACAGTCTTAATTGTGATCTAATATAATTTGTACCCATATAAAGGTATTTTTTTTAATGTGACTGGAGTTACGCTGGTATGAAATCAGTATAAGTATGGTCAGTTTTGATCCCAGCGATTTATTGTTGGGAAAAGAATGCATGACCAGATCCATCCCTCTTCTATACCTTTCAGTGTATAGACTGAAATAACTTTTGAAATGTTTCCAAGTGAAATAGGAATTGTTTCAGCAAGAGGTCATACATAGTCTCTGTAGAACCCCCCTCTCCCCTCCTCTGGCTAGTACTTTTCAAGATTTCCACATCTGCATTCAGATCCAAATCTTCTACCAGGGTGCATCACAGGGGGCAGGGAATGTCTCTGGAAGGTGCATGGGGGTCCCTTGACTGGGATTCCAACTCTCCAACCTCTTCCACCTCTCTGCACCTGCTGTCATCAGAGCAGAGGTATAGAGCTGACTGGTGCTGAAAAGCCAGGCACAGGCATCAACAGTAGGCCTCCAAGTGTTGGAGCAGCCAGGACCAGGGATTGTGACCCAGCAGCTGCACAGTCTGGTAACCGTCAGTCAGCCTACATGACTGCCAACCCTTCCCCCTCCTCTCTCCCCGCCCTTCCCCTCCCCTCCCATGTCTTCTGTGGAAAATATTGCAAATGTTTCAACTGTTACTTTTGCCCCACCCTCAGATACTTAAATGATACTTCTGTAGCTTCTCAATACTTAATCTTTAGTTCTTAACAATAAATTGTGAATGCAGTCTTGCAAGTAAAACATGTTGGCAATGTTCAAGTTAAGAAATCTGACTGAACCAAGTATTTGAAAAAAATATAGAAGACTGAGCCATGAACAAGAAGGAGAACCAGAGAACTAATATGTGCAGTACATTAAAGGAAAGTAATTGGTTTCAGATGAGGGATTACAAAATCAATATGATCAAAACCCAAATCATATCACAAAACCTATAATAGGATGCTTTACAACTAATTGAAAAATGTAAACTAAAACGTCATCTAGTGTTGCACCCATTTCTTTCTTATCTGTATCTTATATATTAGGCTTTTATTCAGCACAATACTTTAGCACAAGTGGCATGTCAGGCATCTGAGTAGTCCCCCTCAGTAGTTTGTTAAACTAGCACTTTAACCTGTTAATTCTTTGGATGAAGAGCTTATCTTTTATTGTATGCATTTAAAATAACTAAAAGATATTTTGAGCCATCTAAATAATAATAAAATAGTGCCAGTAATTCTAAACTAAGTTCTTGTACAGCTGACATCTGGTCTTTGGGGCTTTATTTTTTATCATTGATCAGATTAATGCATTACTAAAATTGTAATAAGGACCATAGCTGTTTATGCTCTCTATTGGTATAATATTGGTTCTTGAGCATTCAACCAACTGCATTTTATTGTCCGAGTGCTCCCATACCTAGAGTTCCATACCAAAAGCGAAGCAGTAAAATGATGGAACACAATTTTCTTCCAAGGGAGAGTCAAGCTCACTTAGATGAGCGACAATGTCAAGTTTAATTAAAGTCTACACTGACAGTGGAGAGGCTGTACTGGATGAGTAGCTTTCAGATAACAAATGACTGACACACACAAAAACAATAACTAGAATAATTGCTAAGGTTCTGTTTCTTAAACCTGACTAAAAGAATGTTAGGTATTTATTCAAAGACTTCCCATGGGGTTATATTCTGTAAGATTGAAATGAAAAATCAAATACGGCAAGAAGCTTAATCTACCCCCTGGAGTTTAGATTTACAGCCAAGTTTTGTCTGCATGAAGGAAAGACCATAAAAATGGCATTTAGGATTGTTTGTATTTCCATGTTTTCTTTGCTTAATACTGTGTGATTGCAGGATTCAATAACAATGTAACTTGTTCACTGCAGTAGTTTTGCAATGTTCAATGGCCAAAGTAAAGATGTAAAAATACTTGCTGTGTTCTATATTTAAGTATCTCTCAATCAGAGTCTCCATGTACATGCAGTTCATGTATTTCAGAGCTCTTCTACCTAATTTAAATCAGCATCTCTCTGTAGCAATTGCACTAGAAAGACAGAGGTGATATACAGGGTAAAAGGTCAAGCTTATAGAATATGACAACCCTTTCAAGGAGAAATGATTGTCCCTTAGTATTCAACGTGAGCTTTTCTTTGCTTCCTGCAGGGCATCTGCACCACAACCACTGCATTTTTACACTTCTTCTTCTTAGCTTCGTTCTGTTGGGTTTTGACAGAAGCGTGGCAGTCATATATGGCTGTTACTGGAAAAATTAGGACACGGCTTATAAGGAAGCGCTTCTTGTGCCTTGGATGGGGTAAGTCCATAAAAATCATTTAGCTTAAATCATTAGTATTGACTGTTTAATAAAAAGAAAAAATTTGGAACATTGATATTTACTGAAGTAATCGTGACTGGTCATTGATAGCACAGTTACTATACAGAAAGCTAGTACAGAAGACTTGTCATTTTATTGCAATATATAATATTAATGTTGTATTATTGATTTGGCTCAAGTTACAAGCAATGAATTTTCCATTGCTCTTTATGCTGTAACATGTATTTTTAACTTCATTTTTTTAGGCTGTCTGCAAAACAACGTAATTAAAAAAAAAACAACCCTCACTGAATAGCCACAGAATGTCTGTGTTATTAGTTCACTTTAAGCTATGTCAAATAAACTGGTAACTTAGCAACATCAAAGTGATGCATTTGAGGCTGAAGAGCTCACTCTCCTTTCAGTGCTTCAGAAAACAAATCCAGCAAAAAGATATGAAATTATTAATTACACCAAAAATGTGATTTTAGATTAAGTAGTTGGCTCTGTCATTTCCTACCCAGCGGGAACAGTGGTTATTTAGCCAAGCCTTAATGGAAATTACTGTTTGTTTTCCAGGTTTACCAGCATTAGTGGTGGCTATTTCGATAGGCTTTACCAAGACAAAAGGATATGGAACGCCTCACTAGTAAGTCAGTCTGCAATGACAAAATATGTTTTTAATTAACAAGGCTACCATGCCCATCAGGAGTCATACAGCACAGTCCAAGGGCCTATTGTACATCTATTCATATGCAAAACACCCCTAAAAAGTCAATGAGTGTTGCATTAAATAGATCAGAAAATCAAAACCCAGTATTGGGCTAGTTCTACAAAGTATACTCCAAAGTATATACTGTGTACATTCCTAATAATCCTCCATGTCACCCAGCATCTCTCAGGGAACACCGGGGCTAGATCCACAAAGGAACTTAGACACCTAACTGCTGTTATAGGCACCTAAGTCCAACAACGAGGTCAGTTAGATCCTGTAAACTTCTTCTGAGTTACCATCTAACCCTGAAGGTACCTAAGTTTCTGCCAGTGAGCCTGCAGACAGTCACTTAAGTCTGGATGCTGCTGGGATGCTCAGGCTCCTAATCCATACCTAAGCCCAGTGGAATTCTCAGGCTATAAATTCCCTTACCTATCACACCCATGCTTGCCAACCCAATTGACACTTTGAAAGCACGCCCACTAGATCAGGCTTCTCATAAAAGATATCCAAAAGACTCTTCATGGCAGGCTGGCATGCATGCTTCTTTAGCCAACAGCCTTGAGATTAGGGCTCTTATCTGTGAAATGAGAGACCATTTGCAAATCCCCCTCTGCCTGATTTTGAGCAGTAAATTAAATTCAGTCTCCCACCTGCCATTCACTGGCCAGAAAGTAAGAGAAAACAAGGAGGGTAATTCCATATCCTGGAGTGCCATGGTCCACTCACTTGGGATGTAGATGAACCAGGGTCAGATCTGTTCTCCGGTAAATGTTTAATTATATACATAAAGAGCAATTTCAATTAGAGAGATTGAAATATCTCCCTACACACATAGCCCAGTAGTGGAAGTGGCTGGGGTGTTCTGCTGCATGAGAAAGACCTGAGCTCAAGTTCTTGCTCCAAATTAGAAAACTGGAGATTTGAATACAGCTCTGTCTCTCTCCTAAGTGGGTTGTTGGGCTATTGGGTTTAATAGTAAGGGCATGTATCTCTCTATATCTGTTGTTTCATGGAAAGGGCTGAAGTGCTTTGAATGCCAGTGTTTTAAGGGCAGTGCATAGACCCCCATCCTTCTCCTTGCCATTTCCTACTTGCTAAGTTACATGACTCCTGCTCAGTTTCCTGGCTTCTGTGAATCCCATACATAGGTTCCTATGTCTCCTTATCATATATGTACCTAGGCACTCTGGATAGATTCCATTGTTCTGCAAGGTACTTGAAAGCTAGGCATTACAACACTCCGCATTTCAAAGTCTAAGTTGTTTTATGGATCTATGACTCTCTTACTTGCAGAATCAAGCCCATTTTTAGTATCACTTGACTTATTCTGCTAAAATTATTCATGCGTTACAGGCTACTTCAGTCACACATATTCCTTCCTGCTTCCTGCTGGTATGGATGAAAATTTTAAAACAGAGTGCTGAAATATTAATAGTGAATGGTACATCAGTAATAAGGAGTAAGCCCCGAATGTAAGGGAATGTGAGAATTTTTATGCATGGTAGGTCTTATCCAGAGCAGCAGTCTGAACAAAAATCAGCTGTTCAAATACTTGCAGAACGAAAATACAAAAGGACTTTTCAAATGGGTTTGTGAATAATTTTTTCCAGTACTTCACCAATTCTACTTCTGACCTGACATGGGGAACATTCCTCCACATTATTGGTTTTGGAAGGGCCCAAGTAAGACCACTGTGGGCACATCTAAATGTGCTATTAATTAACCTGAATAAACTCCAACACAGTTTGCACTGGAGTTTATTGCTTCCAGGTGCAGCGTTTACATGTGCATCTGGGACTGCAGCACATTGAGCTGGGACAGCACAACAGTGGCTAGCAGGTGGTCTGGAGGGTGAGCCTGGCAGCCCAGAGCTGCTCTGACTTGGCTCAACATGCTGAGGAGGGGCTGGCTGGGACACGAGAGTACTATAACATGGGGCTAGCCAGCAGGCAGTCCCTGCACTGTACCACCTTCATGCCCCAGCTAGCCCCAGACACCATCTTCACAGCTGTTGGAGTGCAGGTGAGTACTCCACCGTAAGATAGTACTTGTGTCAGGCAGTAATATCCCACGATGGAATTAATTAGTTTACTACAGCCAAATAGCACTTCACGTGTAGACAGTGTTGCTTTACTGCAGAGCTAATTAGTCAACTCTCCAGTAAAGCGCACGTGCAGATGCACCCAACCTCTCCTAGTCTAGCAAGGAGAGTTGCTGCTCTGAGGCATTGTAATTACAGTGCATTGGAGCAGACTCAGTTAATAGTCTGCTGGACCATAGTAATGAGCACATTCCAGCAGCCTCTGCATCTCATGTATCAGTGTCCTTGTGCTTTAAGATGGCAGTGGGAGCACTTTAACTAAAGCTCATCTGATGAGCTTTAGTTAAAACACCCCTGGTACCATTTTGAAGGGTGGAGATGCTAATACACTAGATGCTGTAAGCACTTTAATTAGAGAGGTTTTTGGAGCCACTCTAATTAAACAACCCTCTCACCCCTAGAGCATGTGTAAAAATACTCATTGAGTCAATATCATCCTTATTTAACATAGTGGGAACTGAGGAATTGTTCCATTCAGAACCCAGGAAAGATAACTAATTCCTGTTTGGCTACAAAAATCGAGCAGGATTGCTCTGTCATCTTTCCTAGATCACAGGAGATATGGCACCATTGTGCATTCTCTAACTACCCTCTGCTAAGGAATCTATGGGCATTGTTTGCCTTGTATTCTGTGGCAAAGGTAAAGGCAGTAGAAACAGAACTTATTACCAGTCTTCCTAGTTTCTATCATTTACTTTCCAAGACAAAGAGTAATGAAACAGAAAATTGATTCTGCACTCTCACCCCCTATGACCTACTGGTAAGAAAATACCAAGCAGGGGTGGCCAAGAGACACCTCTGATTAGGGAGGATGAAATTGCCATTCTAAAGCCACACCAAACCAGTTTCATTGAGCAGTATACCAGTAGTACACCCAAATTAATGTGCTTGATACAAGGCGGTTGTGTCTACACAAGACTCTGTATTGCCATAGCAATGAGCTACGGTGACGTAGTGTCAGTGGACATGAACTGTGATGCTGCTGCTACTGCACAGTAGCTCATTGCTAATGCATAGTAGGGTCAGAAATGACCCATGTAGTGCCAGGACTGCACTGTACATGCAGGACCAGGACTACAGCTTCTGCAGCTCTAGCAGGTAGTAAATGACCACACAGTAACAACTGCAGAGTCAGACAGGAATGTAGACACGCCCAGCTTCACCTCACTTTGTTCCAAGGGAGCTCAGGTTTCTACCAGAACTTTTCAAGTAGCCCTAATTACGAGTAACTTGTATTACATTTATTTTGTATGTATTATTTATGAAAACACCATTATTCCACTTACGCCATTGCTGATGTTTCAGATGCACAGAAGGGATTTCCAAATGATGGGCAGCCCAGCCCTACAGCCCATTGGCATTTCTGGATAACATTTTGCATTACTGGGCATTACAGATAAATTTAGGTGTTAAGTTTAATTTTAGGTATGAATAACCACAGTGAAGATGATGCAAGGGTTTCCATTATAGCAGTGATGAGGATGAGGCACAATATTCAAAAGATGAATAGGTCAAAGGAGGCATGTCCAGCTTACAACCTGTGAGCCACATTCTGCCTGTGAATGGTTAATTTATGGCCCCTGATCTCCCACCCAGCCACTCCTCTCCCCATTTCTCTGGCTACTGCTGCAGGTCAGGTCTTCAGGCTCTTCCTTCTGCTTCCTATCACTGCTCCAGAGAGTAGCTCAGTATAGTGCAGGAGAGCTCACAGCCAGGGGGCTGAGGGTGAGGGCTGGGGCACTCTGAAGCTCTGTGCAGTATGGGAGATGCCTGCATAGTGTGCAGTCCATGGGGCCTGTGGCTCACACTAGCCTGGCCTGTATGATATGCAGCCCCCCTGGTGCCACCTGTGCAGCATGCAGCTCCCACTAATATAGCCCTTGTGGCATGTAGTCCTTGGATGTTTAGCTGTTAGACCGTCTTCTGTCAGAGGATTATTTCTTCAGGCCAAGGTAGCAGCTTCTTACCAGCTAAAGTTTATGAACATATGAGCTGGCCTCATGCACTGACCATAGGTACTCTCTACTCCCACTGTGGGATAAACAAAACAAGGGCACTACAGAACTAGAGAAGACAAATAAAAATAATTATGAAGCAGAAAAAAAAGAAAGGAAGCAAAAAATAGCACCAGAGAAAAAAGTGGGAAACAGATAAAATGGTCAAAAAGATGGCAACAATTATGTGGAAGGACAAGGCCATTTCCTCTGTAGGAAATATTAGAAATGACTGCCATTGAACTGATGTTGAACCCACTGTAATATATATCTCCTAGTATAATCTTTGTTTAATGACACAATTATAACTGCTAATTTAAAATTTAGCAACTTTTTTAAAAGTTATAAAACTTTTCAGACTAAGTGTGGCCAGATTTTTTTCTCTTTACTTTTTCTGTTGGCAATATGGTGTGGTGGAAACCTGAAGAGACTTTTCAGACTGCCTTTTTTAGAGCTTCCTGAACTTCCCGCATTCACTTTCATGGCTTTAAGGTCTCAGAGTCACTAAACATGATCCTACTGCACACCATGCAACAGCCAGAGTTGTATTAGTTCTGATATACCTTTTTTTTAGCCTGAAAAGATTCATAGGTGACTAGGCTTGACACACTGTACATGCTCACAAGTGATCTAATATGTTTCCAGTTGTATTTTGCTGCATTGTTGTGATCTGTGGGAATCAACATAAATTCCACATAGGACCAACACTCCTTAGAAGAAAAATTAGGGACAGTGAATGTTTGACACAGAGATAAGCTATGGAGTTAGACTTCCTCTCATGCTCTCCTTCTGAACCCATGACTCTTGCATTCCTTTCTCTTTGTCACTCAGCTTTAACAGACTGAAAAGAGGGTACTCTCAGTGCTGCATAGCCCACAGCCTGGGTGATTAGGGCACTTTCTAAGAAATGGAAGATGTGGGTTCAATTATTCTCAGCCTGAATGGAGCCTAGAACTGAGGTCTCTTCCTTCCTTCCTAGGCAAGCATTTTAACTAGTAAGCAGCATGCAGCTCCCACAGATACAGCTGGGATGGGGTGGGGCCCTTGGATCCTTGGATGTTGGGCAGGATACAAAAGATGGGTTGGTCTCTTTGCTGCATGCATCATCTCAGTTTCAAACAGTTATTCAGTCGGGTTTTTTCTACATCTGAAAATTAAGAGCCCTTATGAATTTCCCAGGTGTACCTTTCTGGATTGTTTCTGAACATACATATTTGTCTAAGTCTAGTCACTTCAGGATCTTCCCAAGCTAAAGTGGGAATATATACAGAATCTAGAGATTATAGAGGTCTTGGGCTGGCTGAACAAGGAATGTATTTAGTAACTTAGTACCTGCAATCCATGTAAATGCCACTTAGATATCTTAGCAGTAAAATCACATCTGGGTTAAAATTCCTGACAAAAAAATTCAAGTAACATCCTGTAAGGACTGACTTTATGAGCAAGGAAGGAAAATAATTTATTTGTAAGAGAGTTCTATTGGGATTTCTATGTGCAATGCTCACAGTTAAGAAGTAGAGCTGGTGAAAAAATTGCAGAAATATTTTCAGCACTTTTAGTGAAAACTTTGTGCCAACTTTTCAACTGTTAAGTCATGTCAACATTTTAATTCATAGAGAAACAGAAAAAAAATTGGATTTTTTCCAAACATTTTTAACTGAATTTTTTTTAATGAGAAACTTTCCTATGGAGAACCCATACAATGGCATTCAAAATACTAGGATTTTTGTCTTTTTATATACGGTAGTTATTTGCAATTGCTTACTGTTTAAGACTGATTAAATATACCCATATTGTCACCATTTTAGCATTTCACACTCTAATAAGGTTGGGTTCATGTGGCAAGGCCCAGATATGTTTTATTTACTTTGGGAAATGACTGAATCTCAAAACTCTTTTTTTCTGTCTTTTTTGCATTCATAATTTCAGCCATAGCAGAATACTAATACTAAGATGGGTCTATATTTAACTTATTGTTTTTTAAAAGAAATGCAGACAATGAGGGATAGGGAATAGAGAGATCTGTACTGATCATATATTCTGATGCAAGTTTATTTAAGTGCGATATTCAAATACATTATCTGAGTGCATTTCCTTGAATGCTCTTATATGTATGTGCGTTCACACATTCAAATAAACATGCATTTTAATGTATAAGCACTGATTAAAAAAAAAACTGCAGCTGCACTTACTTTAGTAAGTAGACATTTCTAAAGCTTAGCATGGCGATACGTTAAATATTTATGACTCAGTTCTGCAAGATGTCTATATTTTTAAAATCCCTTTCTTTTCAGGAGATGCAATAGGCTTGCAACATTAGGTCTTTAATAACACACCAGAAATGTATAATATTCATATATCTTTAAATGCTGTAATAGTTGTGCAACCTTCCAGAGAAGCCAAGTGTAGAAGGTATAGACATGCTTGTTTTCTAAGTGTATATACAGGCATACCTCGTTTTATTGCGCTTCGCTTTATTGCGCTTCGCAGATATTGCGTTTTTTACAAATTGAGGCAAGACCCTCCACCAACAAAAAGACTACAACTCGCTGAAGGCTCAGATGATGATTAGCATTTTTTAGCAATAAAGTATTTTTTAATTAAGGTATGTACATTGTTTTTTTAGACATAATGCTATTGCACACTTAATAGACTACAGTATAGTGTAAACATAACTTTTATATGCACTGGGAAACTAAAAAATTCGTGTGACTCACTTTATTGCGATATTCGCTTTATTGCGGTGGTCTGGAACCGAACCTGCAATATCGCCGAGGTATGCTTGTAATATGTAAGACATTATCCCATCATTAATTACCAAATTACATCAGTGAAAATGTATAGAGAACTTGTTTTTCTAAATCAGGTTCCATCAACAATTTCACAGCTATTTGACCTTAGTGAAAGTACTCTGGACCACTCTGACATTTAAAAAATGAACTATGTAAGTTTCCAAAGAACATCTTAACAAAGAGATATTGAAACCTCTCTTTTATCATACTCCATTAACTCAAAAACCTACAGGAAAATTCACAAAAGTTTCCAAATATATTTCACTCCAGGCTCAGAATAAGCACAAGGCATTTAAGTATAATTACAATGTGTTTTAAAAGCTGTGGAAGCATTACTGTAGGGTTGAATAATAAAAGCTACTTATCAACTGCCCAGAGCATCATTGTATCACCAAAGTAATTTCATTTCTTTTTCTATGCTTATAAATCTCTCCATGAATATATATGCATTACACCAGAAGAACTGGTACCATATATCCAGCGTGTATGTTCTCTTCATATTACTTTCATGGTATAATACTTATTATTAATTTGTATTAGTTCTTTTCTGATGTTCTTTCCAGCTGCTGGCTGTCTCTCGAAGGAGGGTTACTCTATGCTTTTGTTGGACCTGCGGCTGCTGTTGTCTTGGTAAACATAACAATCATTTTCGGTATTTTCATTAGAAATTGTTGAATACACTATCTGAAGTAGAGAGTGGTTAGCTATGCAGCAGATGAAATTTCTTTGTAAGCATCTTCAGAACAGTAGTTAAAGATTCCTTCAATGTTTTGAATGCAGTTTTTTTCTCAATTTTATTATGTGCTTTACATCAATAGTGTATCTCTCCGTGTTCCATATAAACATTAAGCATAATGAGAGATGTTTTTGCATACACTGCACAAATGTCTCTGTGTATACATTTGTATTAGTACATATATATTCATACAAGTTTATGCAGTGTGTGTGCTGTACACATTTTAAAGTAATTCTCGGTAGGAGAATTGGCAAAAGTTCATTACTAAAATAAGGACAAACTATGAAATCCTGTTGGGAAAACTCTTATTGATTACTTTCAGGCTGAGATTTTACCCAGTGTTGTCATCCATCATAATAACATACTGTTACTCTAGAGGAGATAGTTACAAGACAGGGGAACTATACTTAAGAATTAAAAAACTACATTTCATTATATTTAAAGTAGGATATAAGCCAGTATGCTAGAAAATGGTTATGAGTATATCTGAACAAGTATTATTCCACAAAAATATGCCTTCTGCATTTTGTTCCTGATACAGTCAGAAATAAAGCTGCAAAGGCGCTATGCTGATTGCTGACACAAGAAATGTATTACTAGCATTACAGAATTCTCATCACTATCAGTCACATCCTTTTAACTATTGTCACCACGTAAAAAAGTGTGGTTACAGTCTTAATGGCCCTGTGCTGGACACTGTAACACTGTTTTTCAGGGGTGGCAGGAAGAACGGAATTAGAGGTCAGGTCTTCTGGGAGTATTATCCTCAAAGAATAAAGTTCACAATAGTTAAAAAATGTTACCTATCACATTTTACAGCTCTGCAAATGTATCTGAGCATCTGAGAAATGTTTTTTTCCTAAGTATGTTGCTAATAAAGCAAACATTAACATTTCTTTGAAATTTTCCTAAATTCTAAATCTTGAACTGTTGGAAGAATGTAGTAAATGGATCATCTCTGGACTCCTACAAAGGTCTTAGAACAGAAGGTTTTGCTGTACATATTGTATAACAAGGTTTTCTAACAAATCATCTAAATCAGAGATGCCAGAGACTGTCCACAGGCTGGATCTAGCCCATGGAGCCCTATGGTCTGGCCTGTGGGTCCCAAATTAACCATGCATTCAGCATAAAAGTTGGTTGAGGGCACAGGCTGTGTGCAGCACCTGCATCAAACCAGCCCTGAGCGCTGGCTCTGGAGTTGGCATGGATTGGGCCACACCAGAACTAGTACTCAGGGCTGGTCCAGCAGGGTGGGTTGTGAGCTGGTCCATTCAGGCACAGGGCTGGTCCAGCAGGCACAAGGTGTGAGCTGGTCCATTCAGCTCACATCCTGTGCCAACCCCCTGTACTGTATGCAGTGCCCAGACCCAGCCTAGTCCCGTGCACCATGTGCAGCATGCACTGGTTATGCTCTGGGGCTCACACGGTACGTAGGGAACGGGGCATGGGGCCACCACAAGCCATGGGATGCATGCAATGCCCTGCCAGATCAGCCATATACACTGGCTCTGGCATGAACAGATGGCCTGGGGCGCTATCCAGACTGGCCCTGAAGCCAGCACACAGGGCTGATCTGGTGGGATGCTGTACCACGTGTGGCACCCTCAGAGCCAGATCCAATGCATGCTACACACAGTCCTTGGTCCAGCTGCACGTGCTGCACTTGATAGAGCAGGTGGGCATGAGGTGTCTGCTGCTTGTGGCACCCCACTGGACTAGCCCTACACACTGGCTTTGGTATGTGGTCCTAATCTGGCCCACAGACCAGCTCAGAGACCTTCATCCAACCCACAGAGCTGGATGAGTTTGGCAGCCCTGATCTAAATCATGAAAGTAAACTGGGGATTTGCATGCACTCTTACCTAGAGCCATACACTGAGACTAATGCATACACTTTTGAAACATTTAGAAAGTTGATCTTCAGATCCTGTATATTAATCTGGTCCTTTCTTAGATCTGGCTGTATACATGTAAAGTTATCCAGGGACCTTATCAGTTACCATGTATATTTTACCAAGAAGAGGCAGATATTAATAGATATTAATAATTCTCCTTACCACTAGGAAAGTACTGACTTTGATTCCTCTCCATCCTCTTTTATTAACCTTCAGAGTGAGGCAAAGCAAACTTCACTTATAAAGCCCTCATGTGACCTATTCCCAAACAGCCTTGCTCCTCCTCCATCCTTTCCCCTGGCTCTCACATACAGTGATGACTGTAGGTTATCCATATGTTCTGAATATAAATTGGCCTCCTAGTTTTGCTAAACCCTTGCAGCTCATTGACTCTAGCTAAAAAAACCCTTCATTTACTGGCTACAAAACTATTCCAAACCCCAAAATGCATCTCTTTGCATGGTTGGCTTGTATCTAATAAATAAAAATAAATAAATAAATTTTAAAACCTCATTATTTCTCAAACTATCTTCTCAATAAAGCAAAATGCATTAATGTTCTTTTAGGTCTTGTATCAATAGAATTAAGCTTTTCTAGGTTTCCTCACTGACAGTTTTCCCTTTTGTTTTAACATAACAGTACCCTTTCACAGGGCCAAATGTAATCCACAAGTTCCAGGAGATGAAGTACAGAGTTAGACCAGGCTGCCTGACTGTCCCCAGCAATTGTTCATGTTTTCAACCTATCATGCTAAATTCCAGTCTCACAAATAAACTCATCCTCCTGAGCTGTTCTTGTAGTATGTCTCATTTCATGCATAAAAGAAGACATATGTAATAATCCTCCTGGTTCAATAAAGCTTCTTTTTTTTTCACATGCATACGCACTAACCAAGACACTGGTTAATCTGACTCATGAAGAAAACAGGCTTCTCTGAAGCTAAAATATTCACAAAAATGACCAGATAAAACTGCTGACATTGACAATAGTATTCATAGTTTCATAGTTAGTAGGGTCGGAAGGGACCTGAGCAGATCATCTCGTCTGACCCCCTGCCATGGCAGGAAAGAGTACTGGGGTCAAACGACCCCAGCAAGGTGATTGTCAAGCGTTGTCTTAAAGACCCCCAGGGTAGGAGCCAGCACCACTTTGCTTGGAAGTTGGTTCCAGATCCTAGCCGCCCTGACAGTGAAGTAGCACCTCCTGATGTCTAATCTGAATTTACCCTCTGCCAGCTTGTGACCATTATTTCTAGTCACTCCTGGTAGTGCTCGGAGGAACAGGGACTCCCCCAATGCCTGCTGGTC